TCCGATGACACCGCTTCAAGTGCAGGACAGCCCTATGAGTCACTTATGATTAGCGCCGAACAGGTGGCTAAGTTGCTCGAGGACGCTCTGACTAAGCAGAAGGAAAATTTCAAGTTCGAGATGGAGATGGCCATGCAACAGATGAGAGAAATGCATGACCAGCAAATCGCGATACTAACAACTCACCAAGGGGAGTCTAGTCGTCGCAACAATCCGAATCAAGATGATAACGAGCGGGAGGAGGACAATGTCAATACCCCTCCCGTCAACAACAATAATGGAGGTGGCCCTTCGGATGATAACAACACAAAGGAGGATCACGTTACTTCTCCCCGAAATCACTCGAAAACGAATACGAGTGAGGATAAGAAAATGAGGGACTTGGAAAGCAAGATTAACGCATTGATGAGTGCCCAAGAAGTGAAAAGGTCTGGGATACCATGTCCATATCCAAGGGAATGGGAATCAATTCCATACCCGGCGAAATTCAACTTGATCAATTTTACACCGTTTGATGGGAAGGGCTCCCCGACCCAACATTTGATATATTTTAAGTCCCATTTAGGAATAATCTCTGGGAATGAACCCTTAATGGTGCGGTCATTCGTGGGCACTCTTCGTGGAGCAGCCTTCGATTGGTATCGCCGCCTCAAGCCGGGGAGTATCAGCAGTTGGGATGACATGGAGGACATGTTTCTGACAAACTTCTTCGACGACGACACCGAGATTTCAATCGGCACACTATTTGACGAGAAACAGAAAAATGGTGAGACGGTCGAAAACTTCGTGAAGAGATTCCGAAACAAAGCAATGAACTGCAGGGATCCGATCAGTGAAGACTTCATCCTCGAGACTTGTCACAATAATCTTTCCTTGGACATCCTCGAAGCTATGGGAATGGCACCACCGAAGACCTGGAAAGACTTAAAAGTGCGAGGAGAACGAGCCGAGCGATTCCTTAAGAGGAAGAAAGCAGAAAGGGGTCAAACGGCGAATAATGCTCCACAACAAAACTTTATCCCTAAGGGCAAAGGAAAAGCACAATCGAATGCGGTGGACGCGAACCAAACATTCGAAGTGCAATCGCAACCACAACAGCAGCAGTCACGGTGGCAACAACAGCCTCAGAAACAGAAGACTTCGGAACCGAAATTCCCGAAGGTCTACTCATTCAAAGAAGATGAAGTCCCCGGTATTTTCAAATACCTCATAGAAAACAACAAGATTAAGTTGCCTCCAATCCAAGATCAGGAAGACGCCAAAAGGGTTAATGATCCGAAATACTGCGCATTCCACAAAGCGGTGCACCACCCTACCAAGTCGTGTTACGCCCTAAAAGACAAGATCCAAGCTTTGATTGATGTTGGGGTCATCACTATGAAGCAACCTAAGGAAAAGAATGTGGGTGCAAATGCAGTTTCAATCAGCTTTGGGTCTGTTCCTTTGAATTGGTTTGAGCCTGAGCCTGTGATAAATGTGGCAATAAAGACCGTCAACGACGATCCTCACAAACAACGTCAGAAGGGACTTGTGCCACACACAGCCCCAAATGGTGAGATTATATGGGTTCATCCCGATCTGATTGAAGATGAACAATGGGCCGGATCGTCACCCCAGAAGAAATCAAAAGGCAAAGGAAAATCCTGTTACGAAACCTCGATCGTTCCAGAGGAAGACGACGAAACAATTCCTACTTTTTCATTTTCCGACAATGAACATGAAACTTTTGTAACCACCAGAGAGCCAGTCCTCACCACCAGAAATGGGAACGAGTATCGTTTCAAATATCCAAGTGTTTCTGATCGACTGGCTGGGGCGGAGATGATTACAACTACCCCCGCACCTGCTGAGAAGACCCAACAGGAGCCCCTGCACCAAGATGTTCAAAACCCGAGGCAGTCTCGATTCAATCAGCCGATTGGAAGAGATAAACTGGGAAATTCAAACACTTCATACAACTTCGATGTTATGACCCAATTGGCTAACATCCCAGTGAAAGTAACTCTACACGAGTTATCACGTCTTTCTAAAAACACTAGGGATGCGTTCAACATTACTCCTGACCAGCTCACTCAAATAGTTCAAGAAGCGTTAATCAAGCAGAAAGAAGAATTTGAGGGTAAGATGGAATTGGCTATGCGACAAATAAGAGAGTTGCAAGCTGAAAGGTGTAAATTTCCTAAATCTGATCATCAAGCTGGGTCTAGCTGTTGCGCTACACCAACCACGCCTATTCCAGATAGGACAAATAACAATGGTCCGAATCTGAATATGGTCATCAAGACTGATTGTCACGCCCCAGACGCTATCCCAAAAGAAAGAGAGTTGAGGAAAGCCAATCAGAGTTTGTACCCAGGTTCGCTGCTGATCAAACGTCACAACGACAACCATGGGAGCGATCGCCACAACAGTCGCTTCAGATGCAACGATACTCTTTCAAGGATGATGAGGTTCCAGCCATCCTCAAGTACCTCCTGAAAAACGACAAAATCAAGCTCCCACCTATTAAAAGCGAGGAGGAAGCCAACGGGAGTTCAGACCCAAAATATTGTGAATACCACAGGAGGATCCATCATTCCACCAAGACTTGTATCACTCTCAAAAATACAATACAGGCCTTAATTGAAGCCGGTGTCTCAATGGCAGAATAAACCGAGTGAGAACGACCATTACTCCGAAAAGTATACGAGTATAAACTGCTCCTTTCAAAACTCCAACAGGTATACGAGTATAAACTGTTTTCCTTGTATCAAACGGGAAGTTCCTGGAGAATAATATACATAATATTCTTAAGGATAACCCGACATCAACAAAAGGGTTGAAAATAATACATTGCTTATTGGACTCAGTTTCGCCAAAGAGTTAGGGTCGAATATCTCAAAAGTTTTCGGTGATTCTCAACTAACAGTCAACTGCGTTTATAGTAGAGATAACCTACTCAACGGCGTATATCGCCTTATTACCAAAGAACGCGATCGACTTATGATGCCGATAAACGGCAAGTTCCTGAAGAAATACTACCCTTAGTGTATTCAGGATAATCAATGTATCGGGAAGTTCTCAGAAGAATACTGCATGTGGTATTCTTAGGGATAACCCAGTTGCTATAATAAATAAAAATTCACACTTGGACTCTGAATGTTTTCGAAGTTAAAGCGTGTTTTATTATTGATTAATGAGATTTGATCTTTTTGATAAATCAATCTTTCCCCACAAAATCCTCCACTGATCAAATCAATTGACAGTGGGTCCACTAAAATTCTATCCGCCAATTCATGGCAACTCCCAAAACTTGACGTGTTAAGGCCTAATCACTTAACATCAAAATCCCCCATCGAGTGGCTAGTACAAACCAGTATTTCTACTGCTACCAGTATTCCGCTCTCTTTGCTTTCAGGTCAAACCTATAAAAGTTAGGACCGAAGCCAAATTCTCCTCTCGATTCCTTCCATGAACGAGATGTTCATTTTTAATTCGAGCAATCAAACCTATAAAAGTTAGGATTGTCTCCAACCTCACTTAGTCAAACCTGCAGATTGTTAGGACTAAGATCGAGTCATCTCTTTCGATAAATGAAAAACTTCCATCTTTTCCTTTTTAGCCAAACCTATAAAAGTTAGGGTCGAAATTGGAATTTCCCCTCAATAAATGAGGAACTCTTTTCTTAGATCAAACAACCAATCCTATAAAAGTTAGGGTCGTTTGAATCTTTCTGATTCTCAGAGTGGAGATCCCACTCTTAGTTTCATCTTTCCGGATTCTGGGGGTGGAGATCCCACCTCGAGTTTCTTTTCCAACTGAAGACAGAATATAAAATTCTTCCTCTTCAGTGTTGAAAGATAGAATATAAAATTCTTCCTCTTTCGTTTTCGGGTTTGTCTTTACCCTGAGAAAAGACGTAATTCTCAAATCCGCGCACTTTATGCCCGGGGAATTTTATCTCGATTCCTAAATAGAGATAAGCCTACGCCTAACACGCGTTGCCGGTTTAGTCTTTCACCGAATGAAAAAGATACCAGAATATAAGTCTGGGGACTTTTATCCCGAATCCTAAGTAGGGATGAGTCAGCGTCTAACAAGCGTTGCCGAGTGCCATATTCCCGTAAGAAATGGCGAAGTCTATGTATTCAAAGTCATAGCACCAAGTCTAAGTGAATTAATTCTCTTAGCGCAACGTTACATGTGAAACGGGTTTTAATAATTCACATGCTAGCCCGATTCAAACGGTAATCGGTAAAGGCACATCAAATCCGTTGAAGGCTGGGGGTTTGCCAAAAATCTTAAGTCTACGTCTAACACACGTAGCCGGTTTAGTCTTTCACCAATTGAAAAAGACACCAGGGTCTAAGCCTGGGGAATTTACCTCGAAGCCTAAGAAGGGGTAAGTCAACGCCTAACACGCGTTGCCGTTTAGTCTACTCCCATGAGAAAGACAAAGCCTATGTATTCAAAGTCATAGCACCAAGTCTAAGTGAATTAATTCTCTTAGCGCAACGTTACATGTGAAACGGGTTTTAATAATTCACATGCTAGTCCGATTCAAACGGTAATCGGTAAAGGCACATCAAATCCGTTGAAGGCTGGGGGTTTGCCAAAAATCTTAAGTCTACGTCTAACACACGTCGCCGGTTTAGTCTTTCACCGATTGAAAAAGACACCAGGGTCTAAGCCTGGGGAATTTACCCCGAAGCCTAAGGAGGGGTAAGTCAACGCCTAATACGCGTTGCCGTTTAGTCTACTCCCATGAGAAAGACGAAGTCTATGTATTCAAAATCATAGCACCAAGTCTAGGAGAATTAACTCTCTTAGCGCAACGTTACATGTGAAACGGGTTTTAATAATTCACATGCTAGCCCGACTCAAACGGTAGTCGGTAAAGGCTCATCAAACCCGTTGAAGGCTGGGGGTTTGCCAAAAATCCCACAAGTATTATGGTTGATTATTCCATACGTAGTGGTTGATTATTCCATACGGAGTAAGACATCATAATAAATGAGACATAATGAATGAAAAAGACATATTTTCTATTAATAAAATTGAGTTTGCAGGTACAAGAGTTACAATCAATCTACATGAAGTTTGTGACTACAGGCTTGCTGTTCAAGTTTAGTCAATTCCTCTGTATAAGTTCGCTCAAGCTCACACTGCAATGCAACCTTGAAGGATTCCTCGGTGAGGGATAATGTTTTCGCAGCCTCTTGTTGGATCTTGGCTAACTTCCGTTTCGAGAGCTCCAATTTTCCGGATATCACAACTCGTGAACGCTCCAAGTCATCCTTCGCCATCCCCAAGATAGCCAAGGCCTCCATTTGATCCACCCGACTTTGTTGCGTTTGAATCTCAAGTCCAGCCGAAGCCCGAGTGTCGTGCCATGCTTGTAGACGAGATTCCATCCAAATGGCTGTGTACGTTGAGCTACCAGCAGTCTTCAACTCTTGTAACCGTCGGAATTCGCGCTCCAGCCGGTCCAAAGCGTCGACATAGCTAATCTGCAATAAAGATCAACAGCTCAGTCAGATCAAGAATCGAGATACATAAATCGAAAGACTAAAAGGGAAATTGCGAATCTTTAATTGAAATTCTATAAAATGGAATTTTCCAATTAAAGGTCTAATTAAACCTATACGACATTCTCGGTTCAAGTTAAGTGTCACAGAGTTAAATACAAAGAACTCGGTCATGTACAAGTTTGAATTCAAGGCATATACAAGGGTTCGGCTATATACAAATTCGAATTTGGATTATATACAAGAGTTCAACCATATGCAAGAGTTCAATCACATATACACGAATTCAATCATAAAGGTTCTCAACCACATACAAGTTTGGATTCCATTTTGAGGATTCATGGAAAATATCAAGCCTATCACCAGATAATCATCTGCTGAGGAGAAAGCCAGTTATAAATAGATCAATGCTTACTGATATGCGAGATGCATGTCCTGAATCAATACTTTTCAGCTCAGGAGTTGTAGAGCAGTGCACTAGACAAAAAAAATCCGGAAGTTTCTCGCTTCCAGTTCAAAATTGCCTAAATAATTCCTTATTATATGAAAGGGGATTTCAACCTGTTGCTATTTGACATGGATGACGAATTTAGTCCAGGTAAAATTGAAACAGATGACTTGCAGAAGATCATACATCATCGGAAGCTTTGATGCATAAAAAAAAATATATATATATATATATATACTTTGAAAGAGCAGGACACACTCAGACATCAACCCAGGTCAAATTTCGGCCAATCATCAAAAAAAAAAGAGAGAAAAAATTCGGTTTTCCCCCAAGATCAGAGAGTTGAAGGCGTCAAACATCAAGCCATGAACACAACAAACCCAGGTCAAATTTCGGCCAGCTCCTCAAACCCCATATTCAAGATTCGGTTCTCCCCCAAGATTAGAGAGTTGAGACCGCAGATATCAAGCCATGAACACAATCAAACTCAAAAATTCGATCATCATTCAAAGCTCAAGTTCAGGTTTCGGTTTTCCCCAAAATTCAAGAACTAGGGCTTCGATTTTTTTAGGTCAAAATTCAAAAAAAATCAGCCACAAATCAAGCCCAAACATGAAGAGTAGAACGAAATTGAAACAAAAAGGGTACATTCACCTGAAATTCGAAGAAGAATCAAGGAGGAGAGGAGTCCCGTCGAAGTGAAATCCACCAAGTGCTCGAACCCGAACTGAGCAGCCGACACCCTAGAGTCCAATCGGTTGTAGAGGGATTGAGGAGAAGGAGATGAAGGATTTAAAGGCAGGGGAGTTTTATCTCGGTTGGAACTCTTGAGCTGAAGGAGTTCTTGAACAAAGGAGATGGGGAAGAACAAGGACCTGGAACCGAAACTGAGGAAGAAGGAAGAAAGAAATGGGGTTTTTACCCCCTTCTCCCAAATTCCGACCCGCGTTCCGCGGGTCGGACTTGTGTCCGACCCGCGTGCTCACGGGTCGGATCATTCCGACCCGCGATCACGCGGGTCGGATTCATCTGACCCGCGTGAACGCGGGTCAGACCCAGTTCAGTGTCCGTTTTGCAGTATTTTCGCCCGTTTTCGTCCGTTTTCAAAATTTTCGAAGGTTAACCTCATCTCCCGGACAATTTCACGGCATTTTTGTTCATATTTGGAATGTTCAGAGTTCGAATTCATTTCCCGGATAATTGAGCAGCATTTTCAGTCAGATTTGGAATTTTCAGAGCCCAATTCCGTTTCCCAGATAATTTCGAGATATTTTCGTCTATTTTCAGAATACTCGAGACCCAATTTTATATTTTGGGTGATTTCGTGATTTTTTGCCTATTTTCGGAATATTTGAAATCCAAACTCCAACGGGTACATGAGTCTAAACTGTTTCCCATTTTGACAGGAAGTTCCTAAAGAATATTACAGATAATAATTCTTAAGGATAACCTGACAATCTCCGGCGGGTACACGAGGTTAAACTGATTCCCGAAACTCCCAGGAGTACACGAGTATAAACTGGTTCTCCTCAGGTTAACACGAAACCCTAAGGTCAACGCCGGTCAACACGTAGCCCTAGGTCAACGCCGGTCAACGCGCTGCGATGAAAGTCAACGCCGATCGATTCGAAACGCTAAGGTCAACGCCGGTCAACGCCGATCAACGCGTAGCCCTAGGTCAACGCCTGTCTACGCGTTGCAAGTGATCTAAAAGTCAACTCAATGACATATCAACAAAAAAATCCACTCACCAATTCCGGTTCAAGGCTTCAATAACGGTCAGACGATAAACGCAGTACCGAGAAAATCCTAGCTATTCGACAAAATACAGAATACGCTAAAATATGGAGAAGTCAAGAATCGAAACCATCTGTAGGTCCTTTAACACCGACTGAAGGTGGGGATCCATCATATCCAAAGCGTTTCAGACTCCTCTATAAAAGAATGAGGCTGAAACACTTTGGAGGGGGTATCTGTAGGCGTCTAAAATTGTCTACGAAAGCCCGCACGAAACTCGAAGCAATGAATGGGCGAGTCAAGAAGATTCGTCAAACCAACTCGTGCGCGTCGGTCAAACGCGTGCACGTCAATCAGCTCGTGTGCGCCGGTTAACGTGCGCACGTCAATCAACTAGTGCGTGCCGGTCAACGCACGCACGTCAATCAATGCGTGCACGTCAGTCAAACACGTGCACGTCAAACCAACTCGTGCGCGCCGGTCAACGCGCGCACGTCAACCAACTCATGCGCGCCGGTCAACGAGTGCACGTCAAATCACCTCGTGCACGCCAGTCAACGCGCGCACGTCAATCAGCCCGCGCGCATCGATCAGCACGCGTATATTAACCAACGCGCGTTCGACGATCGGTCTCGCGACGAAGCATACAAATCAACAAATCTATCGAATACGCGACAAGAACAAATCCCCGAAGAAAGAAACCAAAAAAGGGGAAAAAGTCGGCGAACCCGCGCTAAGCGCAGGACGGAATGATCCGACCCGCGCGAGCGCGGGTCGGATCAATCCGACCCGCGCGAGCGCGGGTCGGACGATTCCGACCCGCGCGAGCACGGGTCAGATCGTTCTGCCGCGCAGTCTAATGTCCCAAAACACGTTTTGACGGTTTTAAATTGGTTTTTTGCAGGGTTTATCGGTTCCAGGGGTTCTTAACTGACTTGGGATCATCCCCAAACGTGGTTAGGCTGCTGTTGACTGAAGATAGAGCCAAATCACTTGTTCTCATCCAAATAACCGCATTTCGAGGCCTATAAATATGAACCAAAGGCCTCCATTTTCTGGGGCTGGAATTTTATCAAGAGGACGAGGTGCTGCTGGATTGGAGAGTGAAGGAGCACGAAATTTCAGCAAAAGACAGCAAGATCCCGGCGAACTTCAGCACAAAGGAGAAGCCGTTCGAAGGATCTGAAGCCCGTACGTCTGTTCCTTGAGATTAGGCTTTGTCTTAATCTCGAGAAGAGCCCTGATTTCGCTTTGTCGATTTCAGGACTTCAAGCAAATACCCCCTTGGTGAGGTAGAAGCTCTGCCCAATTTTCTATCAACCGGATCTGATTCGCGGTCACCCACGCAAGCAAGAGCCGATAAACGGATCTTGTGTTTATTTTCAAGAAAGTTGTAATCTTTTGTTCTTTTGTTATTTGAATTCATTTGTAACGCTTAAAGTTTAATGAAATCAATGACTAAGGTAACTTTCGACGGAAACACACCTGTTTGCAGTAGGATTTCCACCATGTCAACGAATTCCTTGAAAGCTTCAAAGTCATGAACATAATCTTCTCCTTGGATGAATATCCATAGAGAGTGAAATACATCTCCATACGCTCGATCCAATCATCGAGCTTCTCCACATTGACACTCCCATCATAAACATGAATCTCCACCTTGAAATCAATTTTCAAATTCTGGTAGTGATTTTTACCCTCTTGATGCGGAACAGTTTTGACAATCTCGGCCTCCCTATCAGAATCAAATTCCTCGCCTTCTCCATCGGACTCCATAAGTTTTTTCTTTCCTTTCGAAGAAGATTCCTCATTTTTGTCCTTTTCTTGGAAGATATTGACGATTTCTGTGAGAGTCAAACTCGTTGTCTCCATCTGTTTCTCCAATGCATCTATCCTCGTTGAACTATCTCCTTCAGTCATCTTCTTCTTCCTTAATTTCTGGACTCCTTCCAATGAAATAAGGATCTTGCCTAACTTCTTGTATTGTGATCAAGTCAGGACCATATACAGGATGCCCCTTCACTGGATCCGATCGTTCTGATACCAACTTGATACGAGTCACCGTGCGAGCACCTTTGATCGTGAAATTATCAAAGGTGGGTTGAGAAGAGGATGACAGAAACACAAGAATAATTCAGTATGTGCGAAGAAAAATACCCTTTCTAGATTATGAGTATGAAAAGATTACAAACCCTCTATCACAATTTCACTAGAATCGAGAACAAACTCTTAATTCTATCTAAACCCTAATCTATCTTGATTAGAATCTCTCTTTGATTACATCTGGTTGATTAGAAACACTAAACAACCCCTTTTATAGGTGTAACAATGTTGATGGTAAAATGGTAAATAACCAAGCCTAAACCCTATAGAAAAACGTGTAAACATAAATCCAAACAAACCAGGAAACCCTTGATGAGTCGACTCATGTGCATATATGAGTCGACTCATGACGCATGGGTCGACTCATGAAATGATGAGTCGACTGGTCATAAAATTTTGACAAAACGGCTGTGTTTCGTAAGTCGACTCATGACAGGCATGAGTCGACTCAACCTGATGAGTCGACTCATGTACATGTATGAGTCGCTGTGTTTCGTAAGTCGACTCATGACAGGCATGAGTCGACTCAACCTGATGAGTCGACTCATGTACATGTATGAGTCCACTCACGGGCTAAAAACTGGATGCTTCGATTCTTCGATTCGCCGTCTCATTCCATGCTTCAACCTACATTCCACTATATTGTTTTACACCTCTACTCTAAAGTTACTATGAGAATCATCTATCCTCAAGCTCCCATGATGATCGCTAAGTTCCAAAGAGAAGATACACTCGTATCACTCCTCCATTCTATTCCATACTCTTCCAGAATGTTCCAGAAGGCTCTACACATCTCTAGAATATTCTAGAGGATTCCACACGCTTCTAGAGAATTCTTCACTTCTCTAGAGTTCTCCAAAAAAATTTAGAATTTTCTAGAATCTCTTAAGGAGGGATCCTAACAAATCTCCCCCTCCCGACTTAATTGGGAGGTAGTAGCAAACCAGCACCTTGATAGCAATCTTCAAATTTCTTGGATGGTATTACCTTGGTTATCATGTCTGACTAGTTTTCATCTGTGTGAATCTTGTCAAGATGTATGCGCTTTTCTTCGAGAGCTCCTCGGATCCAGTGATACCATGTATCAATGTGTTTTGTGTGGAAATGAAAAGTTGAATTCTTTGCTAAGTAAATTGCACTTTGGTTGTCACACTTCAAGACATACCTATCTTAATCTACTCCGAGCTCAAGCAACAAATTCTTCATCCACAACATCTCCTTGTAAGCTTCAGTAGCTGTGATGTACTCTGCCTCAGTAGTGGACAATGCAACATACTTTTGTAACTTTGATTGCCAGGAAACAGCTCCCCCTACAAAAGTAGTTAGGTATCCTAACGTTGATTTCCTAGAATCAATGTCACCGGCCAAGTCTGCATCCGTGTATCCCTCTAGCACATGTTTTCCATTTCCAAAGTATAAACACTTCTTGGAAGTACCGCGTAGATACCGGAGGATCCATTTGACTGTAGCCCAGTATTCCTTCCCCGGATTAGTCAAGAAGTGACTAACAACACTAACTGCATAGGCAATACCGGGTCTTGTGCATATCATTGCGTACATGAGACTGCATACTGCAGATGAATATGAAATCATCTTCATTTCCTCCATTTCTTTGTCACTTGTGGGACTTTGCTTCGAGCTCATCTTGAAGTGTCTAGCAAGTGGTGTGTTGATCGGTTTTGCTTTGTGCATGTTGAATCTTTCTAGCACCTTCTCAATGTACCTCTCTTGGGATAGCCATAACAACTTCTTTGATCTATCACAAGTGATCCCCATCTGAAGGATTTGTCTAGGTGGTCCCAAATCTTTCATGGCAAAGCTCTTGCTTAGATCTTTCTTCAAAGCAGCTATCTTTATGCGATCTCATGGCAAAGCTCTTGCTTAGATCTTTCTTCAAAGCAGCTATCTTTATGCGATCTTGTCCAACAATCAACATATCATCAACATATGCTTAGATCTTTC